CATACATACCTACGTACATACATACATACGTACATACATACATACATACATACGTACGCACATACATACATACATACATACATACATACATACATACATACATACATACATACATACATACAATATATATATATATATATGTATATATATATATATATTCCAAAGAGTTTGGCTCGGAAGATCGCAGGATCAGCAGCCCGAAGCCTGGGGTCTCCATCCCTTCTTCGACCGGCTCCTTCGCACGGACGTGAGCCCCGGGGCGGCCACCGGGGTGCCAGGAGCCCAAGGCTTCCAATGCTGCAACAGTGAAGAAGGTGGAAGCAAAATTCTGAACCCTAAACCGCAGAATCCTGAAGGCAACCCTCAACAGAACCTTGCAATTGCAGCCTGATGCCGGCTTTTGGGGTTTGGGGTTGAGTAGGAGTCGCGATCTCGAGCGTATGTAGTTCACAAAAAGCCGAGAGATTCTGGGATGAGCTGAGCTGACGAACGAGGCATCGGCCTCAAGTAGGGAGAGCTGAAAACGCGACAAGTTCCGGTCGAAGATCCTGCCAGAAGAGTCCGTGAGAGCTCTCCTGGGCCCTACCCCTAAACCCATGGAGTTCAGCTTGTAGCTTCTGGAAAAAATGAGTTGCCGAATACAGGTACTAAGCAGTAGGATACAGTTTAAGACACCTGCCAAGCCCCTTCTGAGGCCGTTGCTGGTGCCCATCAACCTGCTGCAGGTTCCCACGAGCGTCCGGGATTTGGATGAGGCTGGGAGGGCCTGTGCGGGTGGGCGCTAAAAGATTCGAGGGGCTGTAGACCGCAAGTTGAATCGAACCGTGGTCCTGAGGTGCATCGGGCGCTGCAGCTCTGCGAGATCCTTTGTGCAAAGCTGGCCTTCGTAGGCAAGCACGTGCAGGGAAGAATCGCGTTTTTGGCTTCTGGCTGAAGGTTTCTCTTTTAATTACGAGGTTGGCATGATCATCATCCGTGAGAGCTTCGGGCTTTGTGTCCCGGAGCATCTGCCAACATTTTGATGGCTAAATCCTGCAGTCCCCATGAACCACCTTTAGCGCCCAGCTAAGATTTGGGAACGGCTGCTCGTGGTTGGTTGCTTCGGGACTTCACGGGTGTTGTGTAGTTCCTGGTGCCGTTCCCTACCTCTGCAAGAGCTTTTTTGGGGTCTTTCGGCCAGGTAAGGAGCGGTGCAAATTCTCACCGTACCTGCGGGTGTCGCTGCTGCAGCACGTCCACGGACCCAGCAGGGATCTGGGTCTCGAAGGCCTCGAGAGCGTTCGCCCAAGCAGCAGAGTGAGAGGTTGCAAACCTTCCGAAACCATGCGGGATCCTTGCAATATTTCTCGATAAAACCCAAGACCAAAACCCGAAATCCCTAAAGCCTGACATCCATACATCCCCGAAATCTAAAAATCCCAATGCGCAGGCCCTCAGCACAATCTTGAACCGTCACTGAGGTCTTCACCGAGCTAATCCCATTGCCCTTGGGCCCCTGGCTCAGGTTCGGCTGAGGGTTGAGGGTTTCGACAATGGGAATCTCCGTTTGCCGTGTTGGGGCCTGCGTACTCTGCATGTGCGGACACTACCTCGTAGCCAGTATCAGTATGATTACAATCAGCTCTCTCAATTCCTAAGTTCTATACTGTGCTGAGTAAGATCCACTTCGCGGAGCGCAGACCTCAGCTCCATTCGCAACCCCCAGCTCTTGCTTCAGAAGAGCCGGGCCCAAGGCCTAAGCCCTAAACCCCAAATCCTGTATCCCAAGCCCTGTATCCACACCCCAAAGGCCCAAAAAAACTTGTAAAATCCTCGTACGCCTAGAACTCGAGTCTTTTGGGCCCCTCCGGTATGCCAAGTTCGCCCTACACCGCAAGCGAAACCAAAGCCTGAAGGCCCCAAACCTAAACCCCAAATCCTACATCCTTAACTCTAAAGGCTCTAAGAATCCAAAATCCCAAACCCTGAAGGCCCCAAATCCTAAATCCTAAACCCTAAAGGCTCCAAGCCCTAAAGCCAAACTGGCACAGCCGAGGCCCGGCCACGCAGTCCGCGCCCCTGAACATGCACGACGCGATCTGGGCACCGGAAGGCTCCCGCGGGAGGGAGGAGGTTTGTTGGGGTTTAGGGCCTCTAGGGCTTTGGGAAAGAGTGACTCATGAGTTCTAGGGTTTGGGGAAGATGGAATGATTTCAGGAGGCTCTTTTGGGCTTTGCTGCGTTTGGGGTTTGGGGTTTGGGTGTTGTTTTGCAGACGGAGTTGGTTTTGGTTCGGACAGGCTGTTCAGGAAGCCCAGAACTCTGGGCTCAGGATCCAATCATCGTGCAGGAACTGTCAGGGAAGCGGGCAGCCGGGCTTGAAATAGCTCATCAAGCGATCGGTTGATTGCACTAAAGACGGCTTTGTGCTTGTGCTTATGCATGTCGGCTGGGGAAGCATGCCAGGTTGGGATGCAGTGCACCCGCAGATGACGCGAGCTGCCCAACTGGTGCAAGACTTAGCTGGAACCTCGTGTCCAGAAGTTTCTGGGCTGGGCGGGGAATGTCAGAAACATTCCACGAAACGGGTGGGAACTGCAAAACCTAAAACCCCGATACCTGTGAGCCAAAGTGTCCCAAAACCAGTCACACAGACTAGCAGCAATAGCTTTAGTTCGATCAGGAATCGTAGAAGCAGCACCGATAGCATTTACAGCAATCGCAGTAGTGGCAGCATAGTGGTAGTGCTTGTTGCGGTATTGGTAGTAGCGGTGGGGTCGGTGGTTCCGAGGACGGTAGCATGGCGTGGAGGAAGCAGCGGTGGCAATGGTGTGGTGGTGGCAGTGGTGGTGGTGGTGGTGGTTGGTGTTCATGGTGGTGGTCGTCGTCGTCGTCGTCGTCGCAGTGTCACCAGTCAAGGTGGCAGTCGCAGCAGCATCAGCAGCGGCAGTTGCAGTGGAATTGTCAGAGGCGGCGCGGGCGGTGGCAGTCGCCGCAGTAGTCGTCGTCGTCGGCAGCGGTGGTGGTGCAGCCTTAGCAACAACATCAGCACAAACACCAGCGAGCATTACAGTAGCATATAACATGTTGATCGTTCCATACCGACGTTCACAGTACATACCGTCATTCCCGCGGTCGTACACACAGCGTCCGCCCTTCTTCCAGGAGCTCCTCCTGATTCTGCGACGGCTGGCTGAGCACTTCGCAGCCGCCTCCTGCATGCTGGCGAACAACAAAGGCCCTCACCCCAAGCAGCCCAGCAGGGACCCAACAAGGGCCTGGGGTTTGCAGCCTTGCGCCCTTGCGTTCTACATCAACAGTCGCAGTTTCAGGCTGCGGGTTGAAGCCGGTGGTTTCAGATCACCGGTTGAGGATCGAGCATTCATGGTTTGGGTTTCCGGGTGGGTGTCTGTTTTGTTGGTCAGAAGCAGAGACGCTGGAGTCGGAAATTGGGGACATCCGGTACAAAAGACATTGGAGTAGGAGTAAGGAGTAATTAAAAGCGATCGCACGAGCAGCGCGGTCCCCCGCGCAGTGATCATCCGACAGGATTCGATGCTACCAAGATCACAGTCTTCGGATCTATAGCGGCTATCGCGGACCGTGTGGCCAGAACGACAGTTGAAGCCTCAGATCTCAATACAGCTTTGCCAGGTTTCTTCAGAGATCTCCAAAACCTGTGACAACCGACGGTTTCAAGACCCGAGCCTGAGCGAAAGGTCGTCTGCCATCGCGATGATAACGCGAAATACTGACAGCAAGAACAACGCCACGAGCATGTTGCAGTGCCTGTTATTTTGGTTCGGTCCGTCCTTGCCTGGGGCCGTAGCAACTCCTGCCAGACACATGTCTTGCAGAGGGTGGCGCAGGCCCATGCAAATATTCGGAGACACTCATTGCATTGAACTTTGAGGTGCGAAGATCCCGTGACACCGGAGCCGAAGAAGGGCCGCAGCGCTCTCAGAGGCACTGAAGCCTCCTGGATTTGACTTGAGATGTCCTGAGGTCAGCACTCACAGAGGCCCTCAACGGTACGCTGGGAGGGCGCCCTGTCGCCATTGATCCGAACACCTTCCTTGTACAGCCAGCGGCTCAGGGCGACCGCAGACGGGCATTGTCCCGCCACAAGTCATCAAGCTGAGCACGAGAGGACTGAGCCTAGCCGAAGACTGAACGAGACCTGAGAGAAGGAGGCAAATGAAGTTCACCGCCTTTTCTTTGCAGCAGCCGAAGAATCACAGATAGCCCAGCCTCAAGGTCCCGAGGCCTCGAGCACCGAAGCCCCGAATCCTATAGTTCAAGTTCTGGGACCTCTAGGGATTCTGGGTATCGGTACACGAGCGGCTGAAGTCTCAAGACGTCTGAGCGAAGTTTCGCCCTTGTTGAGAGGTCGGAGACCATCGAGACAGCGGCGCCCGAGCTCAACTTGGCCATGGCCTCGGGCCTTCGGAGAAGGAAGAGGAAAGGCGGTACTCTCAGGGTTTAGGGTTTAGGGCAGTTTAGGGCCGGTGGCACCACTACGAAGAGTCGGGCGTATGCTCGTGCTGGTTCTAGTGCTACGAAGCTGCAGGCTGAGCAAAGCGCTACTTGCATGCTTTGGGCGGCTCTGGCTCCGTCTTGCGCTCCGTCTTGGACTCCGTTGGCTTGTGAATCAATCCTGGTGCTGCCGACACGACGAAGACCACGATGCCGCAATGCAATATACCCAAAGCTAGATCGCCCGGCAGCCAGCATCAACGTCGGAAGGTATCATTCCTGTGCAATCATAGTAGGTTAAGCGCGAAAGATCCGATAAAGTTGCGCGAAAGACGCCGCTACTGCCAGGTCTAACACAGCTCCGACAACCACTGCAGCTACAACAGTAGCCACACCAAGAACAGCAACAGCTCAAACAGGAGCGGTAACAGCAAAAGCAACCACCACCACAATCACGACGACAACCATGATAATGATGGGATATCGGTGCAGCCCGCTGTCCCCTTTTAGGGCCCAGCATCGACATGCTGATTCCCAGATCCTTCATCTCTCAAAAGCATTTCCTTGAAAGCCCAGCTCAAAAAAGTCGCTGCTCTGAAAGACCAGGCCCGCACTGCCATCTGCGCCTACTTCTGCCCCTCGGATGCCGACGGAGGGTCCTTCAAGAGCGGGAAAGTACACTTCGTGATTCCGGGGGTCTCGGGTTCTGTTTGGACGTGGCGTTGCCGCAGTGTCGAGCTTGAGTGTCTCTTGCTTTCAGACCGCATCAGGTGAAGTTCTAAGCCACTATGAGATCAAGAAGCTGAAGGACTTTTGGAGCCGGAAGCAGTGCCGTGTGCGAAGAGATGGCTGGGCTTGGGAGGCGTGACTTGGGAAGGCTTCCTCCAAGCTAGGGCTATAGAGCTAGAGAAGGCGACAACCATGCGCAGTCGTGCCAGTGTTTGCGCGGAGGATGAGACGTTGTTCGACTGGGACACGTACGGTCCGGGGCCCGGGTTCTGACTGTATTTGCCATGATCGGAGACTCTCCTTGCGTGTGAGCGTGTATGTCACTGTTTGTCTATGTATGTCCAGTCAGTGTATGCATGCAGGCTGGATGATGTATGTGGAGAGGGAGAAGGGTCTGGAACGTGTTGTGCATGGCGCTCAGACTGGCCATTTCTTATGTCCTGGGCCGGTCAACCCCCGCCTGGCCTTTGTGTCGTGCACAGGAAGCAGATGTGTGCGAAGCATCTTCTGGAGACTGGCAAGGACGCCACATGTCGGACGGAGGCTGCATGCTGGGAGCCCCATTCCATGACGGTGCCCTTCCAGGACTGGGGCAAGCTGGTTGCCGGAAATCAGTCCGAAAATGCGTACCTGGTGCTCAGCTCAGACGGGCTGACCACAAAGGAAAAGTGCAGCCAAGCCGTTGCAGACTCTGGGCGCTGCATAAACTATGGCCCATGTTATGTCTGCGACAAGCAATCAAGAATAGGTCTTCTACAGGCACTCGAGAGGATTCGCTATCATTCGCTAGATACCCGGACTGACAGGGGATTCAACAAGACTCATGGACTCGTGGAGCATCTCCCTCAAGCACTCGGTGCCGCACTATGACACGACTGGCAGCCGACACGATCGATCACCCTGGTTGAACCGGTACAAACACCGAATTGACGGCCTAAGGCTTAAGCCTAAGCTGCTCTGACAGTTCCTGCACGAGGGGAGCTTCAAACACCATGAAGCTGTTGATGGTCGGAGAGCCGAGGTACGGACCTGGCCGGAGTTCGCAGCCTTGCGCGACATCATCTTCTTCTGGAAGTACTTCATGTGCCAGGGGCACCTGGCTCCCTCTTCGAGTAGGATCTGTTGCATCGAGTCTTCGGCGGCCTTCGGCGTTCACCGTTTCGGTACCACTCGCAAACCCGAAGCCTCCGCACCTTATGGCTCGACAGCCCATTCTGAGGCACAGATCTGCGCGTTTTCCCCGACATCAGCAGCTGGTCGCTACAGGTCCGTATGGGAACTCGTAACTAGGGGGTGAGGCTCAACCTCATAGGCTTCACCTTCGCATACAAAAACTGAGCAAAGTGGGCGACCCTCTCAAGGCTGTTCCAGGAGACAGCGCAGCAGTGCGGCGTAAGCCCACTCCAAGTTATTGCGCATGTGCAGGACCGAGTATCCATTCCCCAGCCATGCAATCTTCAGGTTAAGCTCTTGAGGTATCCGAGCCCGAAGACCACCCCTGCAGGCCGCATATCTCACTTGGAATGTGGCCAACGAGAGCGAGGTCTTCGGGCCTCCTACGAACAGGGGCGTGGCTTGGTCAGCATGGACGCAGCGGGAGTAGGGCCGATTCTCAGTACTCCGAAGTAATCCCGACATCCACTAAACAAACCCGGAACCCTGCAAACCCTGGACTGTCGCCCCAGAGACTCGGCTTCAGTCCTCTCTTGACCATGCCCCCAGAAGCTCAACAGCCCCAAACCCCTTAGACCCCCGAAAATGTACCAGCGGCCTGAAAGGCCGTCAAGACTTCGTCTAGGGCAATACACTGAGGCTGAGGTCTTTGACATCAACTTGGTAGTTGCTGCTTCCTACGCGTCGTGTCCAAAACTGGGCAAGTGTGCAGTCGATATGTCAGTTATCGCAGGCAACAAACATGAAGCCTATACCATAAGATACTGAAAGGTATTATACAGTACTATAATGTATTATACTATACGATAATACGTATATTACAACATACTATACCATGCCATAATGTACTATGATAAAGTATGATATACTGTAGTGTACTCGTTTCGAAGCCTAAGACCTCAACCCTGCACCTTCAGGCCATCTTCCAAGTCAGTGCCTTTGGTGCACCCCTTAGCTCCTGGAAGCACCTCTTTGCTTTGGGTTTAGGGGTTTAGGGTGTAGGTGGCATTATGGGGCTTTCGTAGGGCCAACTTTCTTGAGAGCTTTGTGGGCTTTGGGCTTGGTCTCCGTTTTTTGAAGCTTGCCCCCGTGCCCCCACGAAATTGCGCCAGCTTTCCGCAGTCGAGGCGAAGGGTCGATCTAACATGATACGCAGCACTTAGTTAAAGGCTGATGGGGAAGGACTGGCTGAGCCAAAATCCGGCTCGCCCCAAAGGTGCAGATGCTGCTGCGCGTAACCCGGCACCGAGGGCAGGCAAAGCTGTCAAACAGCACTTCGCATCCCAAACAAACTGCTGCCACATTCTCTCGCGACTCTTTGCCGTAGCTGGGCCACTGCAAACCATCCAACACGGTGCTGGTGTTTCGGGCTGCTCTCGGGTAACAAAGGGCAACGCCAGCCGCCACGACCTATGGGACCACTCCGAGCCGGGGGGCAGCCGTAAAGATACGCCCAAGCATTACACAGGCAAGGACGAAGCATCACCCGAAGCCTGAAACCTATTCTGGCCGAGGTCATGACCATGTCTTAAAGACCAACGAGCCAAACTACAGGCTCCTTAAAGGTGTTTTGGGTTCAACTTGGAGGTACTTCGAGGGCTTCAAGGCCGTTTTGGCTCATCCTGAGGACAAATGCTCAGTTTCTGGGTTCAGAAACAGCTCCTAACCGACGCAAATCCTCGAGCGAATTCCCGGAACACCTAGAACCCAGTTTATGTTCTGGGCAACTATGCCTGCGGAACTGTTGCATACAATTGGATCGTAAGTATACAGGGCTGAGGGGCTATGGGGTAAGGACAGCGGAGGAGGTTTATCGATATGGCCACCAACAAGAAATAGCAAAGTCTGTGTGGCTTCACTGAAGCGAACTAACTGTTGTGTTCGGGAACTTTTGTACCGTCGTAAATCCATGTAGAAGATTCCAGCTTCACTCGGTGCAGACGGCCGGAGGCATTGGCCTCAGCGTTCTTTAGGGCTTTGAAGTACATCATCCAGATGTCCCAGTCCCCTAAACCCTGAACCTTGCTTCCGGAATGCTTCGCATTTGGAGACCATCTGGTCGTGGTCTGGGCTTGAGGGCTCGTAAAACCCATGCACAGTCCATGCACCCACCATGCCCAACGCTTCCAAACAGAGCCGACTGCGCCTCCGCAGCAATGTAGGGTTCCGTGGGGTTGCTAGCTAGGTGACGAGAATTTCTGCAAACATGCCGGCCGGCCTGTTACAGTACCGTCGTTCATGAGGGTGACCGTGCACACTAGTCTGCTTCTGGCCAGCTTCGCGATAAGTTGTGCAGTGGTCATTGTTTGGGGGGCTCGCGCACGATTAGAAACGTGGAGTTGCCCTGCCTGCAACATTTATGAGGGTGAGGGGCTGGATACCAAACACGGACGACAAGGTTCAGCAACTAGCATAGTTCACCTTCTAGAGAAGCACTGTATTGAAAGTCTTCTCAATCAATCCCCATCGTTGTTCTTCTATCCTGCTTTCAAACCCGAGCAGGCCGAAGCCTTCGGCCAGTGGCCATCGATACCCGAGCGCGGCTCTAGCATCGAAGTGACCCTGCTCTAAAGTCGTAAGGGTTTGGGATTTGTGGCCACGGTGGTCTCCGTAGGAGTCCAGGATCATGGAGGCCTGACGGGTCTGGGAAAGAGTCCTCTGAACCTTAATCCCAAAGCCGCCCAAGAGTTTCGGGAACGTAAGGTACACAGGCCGAGCTGTAGTACGGACCGAGGATGACCTGTGCCGGCCCTGGAGTTGAAGAGTTTCGGGGCGACGAGTGTCTGAACAGTGATGCTAAGAGGCGCTCCCTGGAGTACAAGCGGGCATGCAGGGGAGTTGAAGCCAGGGTCTGGTCAGTATTTCCTTGCGGATAGTCGCATCATTGCAGCATAAATCCGACATGGGTTTTCGAAGCTCTGACCTGGATTGTTACCGCCTGAAAATCACCAGCACGACCAGCAGCAACAACCACATCGGAGTCACAAACGTGCGATCGCAATCGCCAGCAGCATCATCATCGTCTTCGTCGTCATCATCATCATCATCTTCTTCTTCTTCAACAACAATCATCATCACCATCACCAGCACCATCGCCATCACCATCATAACCACCATCGCCACCATCACCATCATCACCATCATCACCATCATCATCATCATCATCATCATTATCATCATCATCAGCATCAGCATCAGCATCATCATCGTCATCATCATCATCATCATCATCCCCACCTCATCATCGTCACCATCATCATCATCAACCATCAGTCATCACCATCAATGTCAATCATCATCATCATCATCATCATCATCACCTCATCATCGTCATCATCATCATCATCATCATCATCACCATCATCACCACCGTCATGATCAGCACCATCACCACCATCATCGCCATCATCACCATCATCGCCAGCATCGCCATCATCGCCATCGGCAGCACCATCCTTATCACCAGCATCGACACCAGCATCAGCATCAGCATCCTCATCCTCATCGTCATCCTCATCCTCATCCTCATCCTCATCCGCATCCTCATCCTCATCCTCATCCTCATCATCACCATCATCATCACCATCAGCATCACCATCATCACCATCATCACCATCATCACCATCATCGCCATCGTCGCCATCATCACCATCATCATCACCATGATCATCAATATCATCAACATCTTCGTCAGTATGACAAGCATCAGCATGATCAGCCTCAGCATTAACATCGGCGTCATCATCGTCAGCATCGCCTCCATGATGATGCTTATTATCATCACCATCAACATTATCACCCATCATCTGCATCATGCGCATCCTCCTCCTCCTCCTCCTCCTCCTCTTCCTGATCATCATTTTCATCATCTGCATCATCTGCCTCCTCCTCCTCCTCCTGCTCCTCGCCATCATTATCATCATCAGCGATGCAACCGTGGCAGCTGTAGTAGCAACAGACTATAAGTGACACTAGTAGCCAGAGCACGACTGTCAATACTAGCAGTTTGCCTCGGTGTTGTCGTCTCAGTGCCGCACCCTCGTAGTTGATTGCTGTCAGTTGTGGTGTTGTTGATGGTTGTAGCAGTGGTGGCGGTAGTCTTAGAAGGGAGTAGCAGCAGCGAGTGCTCAAAATCGGTCGCTCCTTGAGGCTGTACCTTCGATCTTTACCGACGTTCGAGGCAACGTCGGGTGGTGAAAGCAGGAACGTAGGCACAGGCGCAGGTTCTCCCCAACACTATGGATGAGGACATTGTCGAAGTACGTGCAGCTAGGAGTCTCTCCTGCAACTCAGGGTCTAGAACGGCTCCTTCATCACCAAGTTCCAACGTCTCTGGACTAGACTACACCTTTTTTTTGCAGCTTTTGAACCTGATTGGTGTGATGTTTGCGTGGACACCGGCATAGGCTCATCTTGGTCATTCTGCATTTGCGTTCCCCAAGCTTTTTCCACTCAACTGAGACCTCATGGAAAAGAAGTTTTTCGGCCGGCAGGCCTCTCCCCCTAGGACTCTTTCACCTTGGCGTTGGGGCAGGCACCTTCTAAGTCTACACCAATTTCAGCATTAACATCGTAACACCCAGGAATGTCACGTCACACAAGAGAAGCGAACCTTTACCACTTGAGACTCTGTCAACGCACTTCCATGATGGTCCTACGGCTTTGACAAGCTACTCTGGCAACCACTGGGGATCTAAGTCTCAAGGAGTGGTAAGCCCTCCTACCCAGTTTAAGCATCCAAAACCCTCGAACATGGCCTTGAGGCAGTAGCCTTGTCGCACATGCCCACGTGAATGCGCGGTGGCTACACACTACAAACCTGAAGACTCCGACCATCTCCGACCCTGCTTGCAGCTGCAAGCCGTGAGCTCCGACGCCTTGAGCGCTCGAAACCCGAAAGCCCGCACCCTACACCCGACACGATGTGAGCTCCGATGAAACAAGTCTAAGCGGCACCTTGAAACCCTGAAGCCCTAGACCCCAAAGCATCGACCCTACAGCCCAAGCTGGGAACAGGATCGCCTGCGGCCCTCAGATGCCGAAGCGCTACTCTCGTTCCTGACGGTCAGGATCTCGTCGCTTCGGGCAGTTAGGGGTCTTGTGCTTTTTAAAGAGTAGGGCCTTTAGAGATCTTGCTTTCAAGCTCAGGTTGGTTCAATGCTCTCATATTTTGGAGTCTCTTGGGGTGTATGATGTGGGGTTTGGGGGTGAGTGTCGTGCTTGGTAGGAAACAATTTGGGTCAATAGTTCGGGGTTGAGAGCTTGCGGCAACGACGAGTCTGCACCTCAATCCGCCGATGATATTTCAAAGTACTATGTTTCTACCAGCGCAGTGCGCACCAGAAGATCAACTCATGCCTGATGAAGCCGAGGTTCCCTACATCCGAATGCGTGGGCCTGAAAGCGTCAGCTAGAAATCAGAAGCGAGCCGGGCATCGCGACCAAGGTCCGAAGTCCACAAGGCCCATGGGCTCGTACTCTCCGCTGAAGCCCCCAGCGCCCCAAACAAGAACGCGAACCAAAGGAAGCGGCTCAATCCCTCAATTGCCCGCCCACTCCTTCCCTTTTGCCATCAAGCCCTTTTCTCTACGAATCTCTCCAACGGGCTGCGAGACACCCCGAAGTGGAGCTTTGCTTTCTCGTTCGTCGCATCTGCCTTCCGTCATACCTGGGTATGTGGGGGTATGTGGGTGCCGGGAATAGGCTGACCTTCATTGGACGGACATCTGGCCCTATCCCGGGGGGAAAGCCCGAAACCCTCTCAAAAGGGCCAGCCCCTAGGCCGCTGATGTTGTCCTTCTTCACCTCCGCGGATCGAGTCGGGGCGCCGGAAATCCCGGGTCTCTCTTTTTGGAGGGAAGGCTGATACTGTTTTTGGCAGGACAGAGGAGCTTTGAAGGGGTTTCGATTTCAGTCCCCGCCCGAAAGTTCGGGCGGAGCCGGCCGTCAACCTCCCAAGCTGTCTGTCTCTCCGACTGCGAGCACTGCCTCCCGCGCCTTGGATCCGACACCCTGCACAAGAACCTCAGGTGAATTGCCTTTTCAGCGACACGCCGCAGACTTGGAAACGTCAGGGTTTTGGTCCGTCAAGAAGCGTTTCACTGGGTCCTCCTACACTCCTGGCTTTGTGCACAGGCTGAGGGCAATCCTCCACGCCGTGGTCCTGGAGCCTGGAAAGTTTCTCATGCCCGGCCGCTGGCAGGAGCCAGCTCCTGAGGTAAAGGAGCCACGACTTCCGACTAAACATAACCAGTGTGACAAGTGATGGCGAGGGGGCCCAGGGTGACCCAAATCTTGGGAGCTTGAGGTGACTCGAGTTTGTCCTGTCTGATAGGACCCCACATGTTTAAGACTTTGAGAGGACTCCTAGAACACGGCACACACAAGGATAGTTTAAACTTGGCTCCCCAAGGCTCTCACACGCTCACAGAGATGGAACTTCAATAACTACTATATTCCAATATATTAAAATATAGTATAATATATTCTAATCATATATATATATATATAGATAAGAATGTATTATAATAAAGATGGGAATTGACGACGAAAGCTCCGTGGCCAAGTTGTCCTCAAATGGTGCCGGCAGCGAGCGCCGCAGAGGCTGCCAGCTTATATAATGGATGCTTGCTTTGGAGCTTTGCACCGAGGCCTTCGGCGCAAGGTTTCGCAGCTTTGGCGCACACTTCATAACTATTTCATCAGAAGCACCGGGGCGAGACTTAGACTCGTTTCCTGCCTTCAAGCAGAGATGCTGAAGCGGAGAAAATTCCCAAACGCGAAGCGTAAAATGATGATTAGTACTCAAGTAGATCTATCATGATTATGACTATGACGAGTTATATTTTGTCTTGTCACTGATACCTTAATGATTATGGCAATTACCACCACCAGTACCATCATTGGCATTATTACCGTACGCTTATGCTGCTGAGTCTCTCATCTTTGCTGTTGTGTTCATGATTATCATATATTCTAATATATTCTAATATATTCTAATATATTCTTATATATTATAGTATATTATAATATATTATAATATATTCGCTATTCTAACCAAGCCCCTGGCCCTGCAGGCCGAGCTGCTCGCAACGCCCTTTGGTCAGCCTGGCGCCCCAGGAAGCCCTGTCTTCTGATGTGCAGAGCTGCGGAATTGTGACAAGAACCAACGACGACGATGACAGCATTCTAGGGCGCGCTGTCGACTGGACGCGGGGGCGGCCGTCCTTGGCCGTCCTTGCCTTTGTGAACCGATGTTGCAATGTTGCCACCACTGGATGATATCAGCGACGCAACTGCAAACTCAGCAAAGGGCATGTAGCAAAGTCTTGCAGTGCCAACATGTGCTAGCATCTTCATCAAGCACTATTTGCAACAGAGTTGCTGAAAGGTTGAGGGACCGGACAGGTTTCGTCAAAGCACGAGCATGCATCAGAGTCCAAGCCCGGTCGGCTCATCGTACAGCTTGGAGTACGACCTTTGCCCTCGACATCAAACGGTTCGAAAATTCAGCTAGGCACTGTGCTCAGGTTGCTGACGGAACTGTCCTGCTCCCCGAAGATGCCGCCAGGGGCCCGAATGGAACTGCCGCACGATGAGAGTGAGGTTTGCTGACATGCCGCTGGATACTCGTACCATCCGTATGTATATATATATATATATATATGTGTGTGTGTGTGTGTGTGTGTATGGGGAGCGCGCCAATCCAAACCGAACCTGCAGCTTGAGCTGGGCCAAGCCATAAGCTGCAAACACAGCCCAAACCCAAAACCTGCGCCGGCAATCGCAACCTCAAGATCTACCCCGTCATACCTCAAGACGTTGCAGCCTAAGCCCGAAACGATTGAAAACACCTACACCCCAAATCCGAACACGTCGCACCCGAAACCCTAAACCCTGAATAAAGACCGGAAATCAACAGAGCTGGAAGACTCAACTCGTGATTCCGAGGCTCTCCCTCTCGGGCCGACTGTTGGAGCTGGTGTCAGCCTCAGCTTCCGATGGTTTAGATATGTAGGGATTTGTTTTGGGTTTCGTAGGGTTTTTTGCTTTTTTGGCTTTGGCTTGGATGGGTTTAGTTTCTTATTTGGTGTTGGGGGCTCAGTGCTTTGATTTAGGTGTTTGGGCTGGTTGGATTGAGTGTAGGATGGGAGTTTTTGAGTTGCGTGGGTTTAGGGAACAAGGGCGCCTTGAGATTCGGGCAGAGCTGTCCCGGAAATCAGAACGTACCCTAAACCCTAAACCCTGGAAAACCCCAAACTCAGGCACTTGTGTTGGCGAACTCTGTGACCTCGGACACGGTGGGAGTGGTTCTCTTTGCCGTGCGAATCGCAGTACGTACGGGCCCCAAGAGCTTGCTGTTGGAGCTTACAGTGAAGCTACATCCCTCTTGTGGTTTGGCCCTAGCCGTTATCAATCCCGATTCTGGGCAACACGCTCGAAGAGCAGAAACAAGGTGGGCACTTGAGCCCAAAGTGAGATTCATCAAATTCCATCCCTCTGTCAATCTGCTTTCCCAGATGTTGAATTATTCTGGTACCGAGCCCTGGAATCCCCAAAGCTGTGTTTGGAATTTGACACCATGGCCCGCCAAGGTGTCGAGTCAGCCACATCCCTGCTGCTGAGGGCACACAGTGGGGGCATCACGGTGCACGCCCCAAACGGGGTTGCAGACAAGGACGAGAGTTCAAATCGTCACACGCATGAGTGCTGCTTTCTGTTGTTGAAGCAGTCGTCGACAACATCGTCGCAGTCGTCGTTGTATGTCTCGTCACACACAGGAGCGCTGTAGTCTCTTGTTGCGGCAATCGACATCGCAAGCTCCACCGTCATCGTTGCATGAGTATCTGTATTAGTAATCGTATTAGAATTTGCACTCGCGTTAGCATCAGTATTCCCGTTAGTAGTAGTAGTAGTAGTAGTAGTAGTAGTAGTAGTATGAGTAATTGTATCAGTATGCGCAATATATATTGTACGAGTATTCGTATTGATAACTAATCGGTCCTTTACATATTAGGATTTGGGCTTTGATAAAGATCGTGATTAATAGTTTCGTGATAGTACTAGCGTTGGTATCGGCATCAGCAGCATGGGTTTTTGCAACCGGGTTGCATCAGTAGCCGCGGTAGCGACAAGGGTAGTGGCAGTACTACCTGTCGTCGTCTAGTCGTCGTCGTCGTCGCAGTAGTAGTAGTAGTAGTAGTAGTAGTAGTAGTAGTAGTAGTATTATAGTAGGACGAGCAGGAGGCGGTGTTGGTGGTGGGTGGAAGAGGAGGAGGAGGAGGAGAACTCGCAGCAAACCAAAAGAACTTGTAGGATTCCCTGCTTCATAGAATCTTATCCTGGACCGTTGTCTACGCAACTGCCGACAGCAACCTTAATCCCTCGACCTCAAGCCCAAAACCTTAAGCCGAGTCACCAAGCTGTGCCAGTCGTCGCCGCTCCTGGCAGCTTCCTTGAACATGAGCGAGTGCCGAGCCCAAGAGTAAGGAAAGCCGGAGAATTTGAGGAACGTTGTAGGTCGACGTTTAGAGTCCATGTAGATACGTCAGCTCGCTCAGCTCCCTTCCATCCTGTGAAGTTCCCATCTGTTTTCTGGTCTGCTTACTGTCCAGTGTTGGAAAGATGCAGATGAATTCGCGGTTGATCATAGTGGGGTTGAGCGCTACAGGGAACTATCTTGAAGCCAGAGGCTTCACCGCAACTGCAGGTTGTTGCCTTGAGTCATCGGACCTGTGCTGTCTCTGAGGACGGTGCTTGCGGAACTGCGGTCAGGCAAGCAGTACATCCGTGCGGGAGCCCGGCAATCCAGCACAGCGTGTTTCCAAGCAAGGGTGTTTGGCGAGGAGTCTCAGCGCACAAAGCCAGTACAGCTACTGCTCATTACTACTCTCATGCTTTCTCCTCAGGTCCTTCTTAATGTTGCACATGACCATGACAGTGGCCATCGTCCTCGTTCTATGCGGCCGCGTTGCTGCGTTATGCAACAGTGGAAAAGGAATAATGCTTTAAATCATAACCAGTACTGTTGTGGCTGTCATTACAGTGACAGTATGTTTGTTCCTCACCGCCACCACTACTAGTACTGGCTCTAGTACTACTGGTGCCGCAGCTCGAATGATTTCTCAAGCATTGTACTATACATGGGCGGCCAATCTTCAAAGGGCGGCATGACGGCCGAACTTATCGGCAAGGCCAGGAAGCGGCTTTGGGCACAAACCCCGAAACCCTACGCTTCTTATCACCACTGCAGTGCCTTGCTATTAGTAGATCAAGCGAGCGGTCCCCTGTTGGATCTTCGGATGCACTTTGCATCCAACGCGACTTTCCTTATGCAACCTTCTGTTAGACCCCCCCCAAGAAGCCCGACGTCTTCTTGAGGCCCCCCTCCGAACGTGACTGTCTTGTCCGCCGGCCGTGATGAACTTTGGGTCTGCAGATGTGGAGCTCAAGCGTAAAACGTCAAACCCGAACGCCAAAAAGCACCAGAACTCAAGCCCTGACCAGGCTCCCCCTGACTTCGAGATGACCTTGGAAGATGCCTAGACAGCATCGTCGGTTTTGGGGTTCAGGTTGTAGGGTGGTCTTCGCCACGATCGAAATCGCAGTCACCATTGCCATCGTTATCTGAAGGGTGATCATGACCACCACCACCATCATCATCACCACCATCGTGGCCATCATGAACACCGGCAGTACCATGTAACCTAGCCAGCCAGAAACAACAACCAATCGCTAGTAACAGCCTTTCGACACTTTGACAAGCAGCCGAGGATGGCGCCACGAAGAAGCTTTCAGACTTTCTGAGCTCTAATAAGCCGGTGATCATCGACTTCTATGCGAACTTCTGACCTGCGTGCGGGCCAGCCGCTACTGAGACTTAGCTGCACGGTAGGCAAAGTGTCTTACTGTTTGTTGGGTGCCACATAGAGCCCTCCAAGAGAGGTGAAAACCGTTTCATGTGAAGACTCGGCAAGTTAGGAGATGAACAGCCTGGCTGAGACTCACGGGGACAACGCCATATTTCTGCTGGTGAATGTTAGAACCGTGGCAGATGCCAAGAAGCACCTTGGAAGCAGACTCTTCGGTGGAATGCAAGTCCGCCAGGTCCAGAACATCAAGATTGAAGCCGATAAGAAACCTCAAGCATCAATCAAAGCATGTCGAATGCTTCGAGAGTCGCACATCAAAACGTCTTGAAGATGAAAGCAAGCTCGACAGTCTCAAGGCAGCAGGCTGCGCGAGACTATGCAGCAGTTGTACAGGAGCAATAAAGAGCAGACAGAAAATCACAGAGACCCACGCTACTGCTGTTAAGCCAGTGTTGTTCTCATGCACTGTGAAATCGGACTGGGACTAGGATGCGCGCGTGAAAAGCTGCGAAATTATGCGCGACAGTTTTCAGCGGGTTTAGGCAGCCCATATCGTGTTGGCCTCTGTGTGAGATTTCTTGAAGCCTGCAAGAAGCCTAGTATTCCAAAAGCTCGAACCCTGAGCACGAAAATGTCTAACTGCAAGTCCGCCACCTCCAAAATTTCCCGATCCACGAAGTTTGCTCAGGTATAAAGAGGACAAGAAGCTCCACAGCAGCAAGATGATCCATTGTGCAGCAAGGCCGCCTGCGGAGTACGGCCTCAAGTATCTTGGCTGATGGCAAACTGTGCCGAGTTGGGTTTTTTGCAAGCACTGGCAACTGAAACCTGAAGGTGCTCTCAACCCTGAGTCGTAACAAGACACCACCAGACTCTCAGCTCTCAGCTGTTCCTAACTTCCGAAGTTTTCTCAGCCAGTGTTCCAGCAGGCCTCCTTGGTTAGAATCTCATCACTTCCCTGATCCGGGCGTTCACTAGTTGTGCCGGAGCTGCTTCTGCTGATTACGACATCACGAAAGTACTGTAAATACTGAGTAA